TGGCAACATGATGTGTTTCGTCGTCGAAACGTCTCGATCCCTCGTCTGCGGGATTTCGTTCGAATTCGATGTATCGGAGCCTCAGGTCGATGCCACATCCAATCGAGTAGGCGGCACACCTGCGGGCCAAGGCAAGCAGGCCGAAGTCTTTAGCTCGGCCTTTCTCGAGACAGCACAGTGAGGAGAGGTTATCGGACAGCACGAGGAGTCGACGTCCACGACCTGAACGAGTAGACGACTCTCTGCGGAGCGCCATCAGAATCACCCTCCCCTCCTTCATATGGATGGCCTCGCCCCTCTTCCACCTCCCCTCGAATAAGGTACGCCAACGACCAGGCTCGACAACGTCCTCGGGAAGGATCGGGACCATGCCAACTATCTCCTTCTGCTCTAGCTGTCTACGCTCCTTACCACGTAGTTTACAGGACTCCAAAACGAAAACCACCCGACTCCAGAACGCCCGAAGACGGGTTGGGTATCCCAGCAGACTCCAGAAGCCACCGTGAATATGATGTGTCAGGCACCTCAAGATCAGCAGACCAGCCAGGGTTCGGGGGCGGCAGGCCCCCAGAGGTCCTCAAGGTGTCCCCGCGATCCCCCTCCACCTCCACGAACCGCCAACGCTCCTTCCACCTAGAAAGCTTTCGGAACTCCGCGGGGCCCATGGGGGTGTCCATGACGGCGCATCCCTTCCCTGACGCGTCTCCACAGTAGGCTCGATCCGAAGGCGGAACTGACAGCCGTGCCTCGGCCAAGAAAACGAGCCCCGCCATCACGCGGAACTCACGCTTCACCTGGCCAAGTAGCTCACAGGTACGTCCTAGGCTGTCGTTCACAAACCGATAGGCGTGGGCAAAGACAGACATCGCCGGCCTCAGGAGGACAAGGTAGTGGATGCAATGACCCAGCAAAACACGAACTGCCTCTCCAGTCACCCGACGCAACTTCAGAAGACACTTAATCCCAAGATACAACCGCCACGCCCTCTCAGGCTTGTGACGAATACTGCACCTGCTCTTGTCTATCACGATGCCCACATTCTTGACCAGCAGGGCGCCCCCGCCCTCCTCGTGCAACGTGAACCCCACACTCTCAAGCTCCCTCTTGATCGCAGCGTAATCTGACGAAACCTCGGAGCACGAGAGGCCGACTGTGGCAAGGTTATCCACATAGACACTCGAGACGGGACCAGATCGAAGATCAGGAGCGGGGAGCCCCTCTTGCACCAACCGATGCTTCCCGCCGATAGCCACGGAGGTGAAGTGCTTCACCGAGGTGGTGCAGAAGTGCAGGGCCCAGGACCAGCCTTGTGACATCCCAAGAAAGACAGGAAAACACTTTCTCCGTGGGCCGGGCAGGGCGAAGCCTCTCGAGGTCGTTGTCGAAGATCTGCGAGAGACCGAACTCGGAGCATCGGACGGGGTCGTCTAGGCCGAACCACTCGGCCATCGACTCGACCGAGAACTGATAGAAGGCGTCCTCCACGTCACCAACACAGACGGAGAGGTTCGGGACCTCGGCGATCGGGCCACACCCCTGCGCCAAGCTAGCGAGCTCATCCTGGTCGAGCCAACCGTCAAGCTGCGAGAGGGCGCCAGCTCCGCCTAGTCTAGTCTTCGGCGGCAAGCGGCGGTGGCCGTTCGGCATCCGGGCGCCCGCGATAAGCCTGATCCCACGGCGAGACGACTTCCACACAAAGAATATCCCCACCTTCGCCTTGATACGAGTTCTGAACCCCAGGAGTCCCTTGTCATAGAGCTTACGATAGAGGTCGAGCCGCGCCGACCGATCCTGTCGCAAGTGGGGGTCCCAGTAAGGCCTGAAAGTCGGGTGCTCCTCATTCCAGGCATCGATCTCGGGTGGCGAGCGGACGAGGTACCTATCTGGATGAATCAAGAAGGCTGCCTCCTCGGGCGGCAGCAAGTCGACGGCGGGCTTTGGCACCGTCTTGCCCTTCACGATCTTCAGAAGATCGGGCTGATACGGGGCGAGGTTCTTCTCGCCAACGCAGCACAGGTCATTTGCCTTGAGAAGCCCCCAGAAAGCTCCCCGAGCAGTCATCCCAGCCGGCATCGGCCCATAACTCCCAACGACGTCTCGAACACGATTCATCACAGCAGTCTGGGTGAAGGAGAGGCGCGGCGGTAACGAAGCCCCAAACCAGGCACCTCCTGAACGGATCGAAGAGGCGGTAGAGGCAGCCAAAGTGTTGTGGCTGCGCGCCGCTTCGGCAATCCTGAGCTGTCTGCTTCTTCGAACAGTTAACCCAGGCGCTTCACGGTGCGGAGGGGGCCCACGATCACCACGTCCAGCGACGGAAGGCACTGGCAGCGGGAACGGATCACCATGCTTGGGCCCACCTCCTCTGTCCAAAAACTCCCCACTTAGTACTCGGGAGGCTCGGCAGGGAAGTGTCTCATCCTTGCCCCCCGGAGCCAAGGCGGTCATGATGTCTGCCCCTCCTGCTGGCCAGCAGGAGAGGCCTTTGCCTTCGCCTCGGACTTCAGGTCGGGAGGCCCATCACGATTGTCAGAACGATGACGCTCGGCGGCCAGCACCTCACGCCACTCCCGTTGGGCCTCCATCGTCTTGGCCTCCTCCTTCTGCTTGCTGCCGAGCCAAGTGTCGTAGCCGTGCAAGCGGGCCCTGCCGATCTCGTCGCAAGCCCGATGGTGCCGATGTCCAGGCCCGCAAATCCGGGATCACGTTGAACCTGCTGGATCACGTTGAACCTGAGCACCGCCTGCTCGGTGCAGGCGAGGTTGGTCGAGTCGATCTGGTCGTAGCCGATCTCGAGCCTCACGATCTGGACAAGGTTCCGAAGCTCACGTGCCACGGACGAGTTCTCGCTGACCCCAGACTTATGCATGAGAGCTTCGAGCCACACCTGGAGGTCACCGCCGTTCCCAAGGTCCGACTCGAGAAACTCCTGGATAGCCTTTGGCCCAGGATGAGGCCAGCCTGCGAAAGCCTTGGGCGTCACAAGCTCCATCGCCTCCGACAGCGGCAGCACTCGCCTTTGCACTGAGTTCAGGAAATGACCAAGCAGCCGTAGGTCGCCCGAAGCACCGCCAGGCAGTCGACCCCGCTTCCGAGCAAGCCTCGCATCGTGGTCTGAGTCCTTCACGAGCTCGACCAGCTCGGTGATGCCGTCGATGAGAGCCAACCGCTGAACTCTGACACCATCATCGCGATCATCGGTGGAGTCAGCGAGCTCCGCGGCAGTGACGACCTGATCAAACTCAGCCGACGAGGGGTCCGCCACACGCCAGCTGGAGCCTGCCACGCCCCCCGCCCCTGGTGCAGGAGCACCCCCCAGCACCTCAGTGATCTCGCGCGCCTGCTCGTGCATGGTGGCGATCCGAGCAGGGGCTCGCAGCGGCCCTCGAAACACGTACATCGTCGCACCCAGGTCGACCGGGAAGGACCCGCTCCGAGCCAACGGCCGCACATCAACCCCATTGAAGTCCCCCTCATAGTCATCACCGTCTGGGGACCCTCTGATCCACCGAAGAGCAGCCACCCTGGAGAACAAGACACGGTGGTGGTAGAGCAGCCCAGCAGCGTCGTCGTTGTAGCAGACGAGAGTCTGCATCTTGTCTGCGTCTAGAGTCCGATCGACCGCCGCCATGCCTCCACCTCCTCACGAGACGCTGGTCCCTGCAAGGCGGCAGACGTGGACGACCGCACCACTCGGCGACGCCCTCCGCACCTCCCGAACACGTAGCCGAGGAGCAGACACAGCAAGCTGAAGCTCACGGCGAACTCCAGTGGCACTGTCCGCCCGCCGTTCGGCGGGCCCGCAAGGGGTGTCGACGCGCCCGGGCACTCAAGACAAGGCGGTGCTGCAGCACAGGTACAGGCGGGCGCCGCTGGGCACACCAGTGGGCACCCCACCGCCTCCTTGACGATCTCGAACACGGGCTCGCAGACCTCCGCCGCGGCGGGCGGAGCAGGGCAGGTGCACTCGCACCTGGTCGGTGCGATGGCGTCTCGGGTGAGCGTATATATGAAGTGGGCGGTCGATGAATAGGAGATGGCCCACTCAACCACATGCTGCTGACCTTTGCAGCTGAAAAAACTTGAGCACATTGGGCGATGGATCGGAGGGACCTGGCCACGACTCGTGCCGCAAAGAAACATCAGTGATTGCTGCAACATATACATACATACATACATACATACATATATACATACATACATACATACATACATACATGCATACATACATACATACATACATGCATGCATACATACATGCATACATACATACGTATATAAATACAGATACACGTGCATACAGTAATTCATACACGTACATCCGTAGATACGTACGTACGTACGTACGTATGTATCTACACACATACATGCATGCACACATGCATGCATGCATGCATGCATACATACATATAGACACATATACCTACATATATACATACAGACATATATGCATACGTACATACATACATACATGCATACAGACAGACAGACAGACAGGCAGACAGACATGCATGCATGCATATATACATACATACGTAAATACATACATGCATGCATTCATGCATGCACGCATACAGACCTGCATACATACATACATACATACATCCATCCATGCATGCATGCATGCATACAGACATGCAGCTATGCATACATACATACAAAAGACAGGCAGGCAGAGACACACATACAGAGAGGCAGACAGACAGACAGACAGACAGACAGACAGACAGACAGACAGGCAGACGGACAGACAGACAGACACACAGACACGCATACATACATACATACATACAAACAAACATATGAGACAGACAGGCAGACAGACAGACAGGCAGACGGACAGACAGACATACAGACATACAGACATACAGACATACACACACGTAGACATGCAGACATGCAAGCACACATGCATACATACATGCATGCATGCATACATACATACATACAGAAGAAAACACAAACAACACAAACAGACTGAACAACAACAAAAAACAATCCTCGCGCAGGTGCTGGCCTACCGCGTCCTCCACAGGCTGCTGGAACAGCCAGGCCGACTGAGGCTGCACCTTCTGATAGGCCGTCTCCTCGAACTCCATGCGGAAGAACTCCTCCAGGAGAAGAAGACGCACCAGCATAAGCATAACCATGCGGAGGTCTGCACGGACCTCCGAATGTTTATGCTGATGTAGATTTCTCTTCGTCGATCCTCGTCGCTCTCCACCAGCAGGTCCCCAAAGACAAGGTCCGAGACGCCGTGGTCAAAGGTGAAGGAGGCGGAGGAGCCCCCAGCAACGTCGGACTGGACCTCCCACACGTAGTCATCGTCCTTGCCGAGAGCAGAGCCGGATCGCCAGTATTCCGAGCTCGCTGCTTCGTTGCTGAAACCTTTGTTGGTGACTTGCGTGCCACCTCTCCTGAACTGCATGCTCAATTTTCCGATGGCATTGCCGTGGGCGATGGACATGGACACGGTGAAATTGAGGCCATCACCGTACTTCTGAGTGAGCGACTCGAGACTGCGCGCATCCTGCTCCTGATCTTCAGCATCGAGACTCTGATCGCTCACTGATACACGTCTCGCTCGTGCGGCTGCAAGGATCGCAATAAGGAAGCAAACACGCCCCGCCATGCTGAAGGATGACGCTGCGGCTGGCAGCTGCTGACTGGTATTCTGATGTATTTTGCCAACACTGACACAAATGTTCTAAGCTGAGACTGGGCCCAAAAGAGCTGACATCAGGAAAAAATGCGCGGGCGCCTGTTTTCGTAATCTGCTGAACGGCCCACAAGGAAACACAACCTCTACAGGTGCAAATATCTTCGCACCACTCCGTCACTAATCCATCCCAACAGAGCAGGTCACTGGGAAAGCATACCCACAGTCCTGCTCAACCATGCCTCTCCGAATACGGAACCACTCGCGCTGGCCTTGGCTTGGAGCCCATGGATATCACCACCCACTCCCTTGTCTGACCGTCGTCCTGACCCTAAGCTGAGCCCATCCAGCGGGGTATCCCAGCAACCAGGAAAACGCATACGCAGCATACCCTCTGGACTCGTTCGACCTCGACACAAGCAACGCGTGCCACGTGGACTTCCAAGGCGCACGCCAAGGAGCGCGCCCGGCCAAGAGCTCAGCGGCGGACCCGGCCGTGGCAGACGGGACGCCCCAGGAGGTCAAGGAAGGACGGACAGCGACAGAGCGCGCCTCGAACCTCGAAGTCTAACACGAATCGAGGACCGGGGCACCTCTCGACACAAGGACGGAGAGGCGGAACTCGAGATGCGGTGGCCCTGGAGGATGTCTCTGGCACCGCGGCCGTCCAGGACGCTCTCAGAACCCCGTCCCAAACCCACCCGATCGAGGTTCAATCCCTGTGGACGGCCGAGATGGGCAGGGAAAAAAAAATACTATGCCCAACAACACATGTTGTCGAGAACCGACAGCGGCCGCTGTTGCGCAGGCGGCAGTGTGCCTCAAATGGGCAACGTCCGCGGCGCGCGCGGGCCCGCTTGGTAGCATTTTCTGAAACTGTTGGAAGCCCTATCGTTTTAAGAATTCGCAAGAACGCGCGAGCACGCTTTCTTTGAACATCCGTCTTGCGAAACCATGTGTTTTCACATGTTTTTGGGGCACTCGATTTTGAAATCCTTACGACACCTAGGGTTTGTTGATGGATTCTGGCATGCGCGCGCGACGACGCGCGCGTGCGCACTTAGTCTCAGCTTTCGCATGGGATCCATGACAACTGATAATTTGTGGTAATCGAGTGCGCGCGCATAGTATTTTTTGCAGCGGATAAAGAGCTCATATCTAGGATGTAAGATGGGGCAGACTCGTATGTAAATTGCAATACAAAAAGGTGTACCGATAAAGCCGGGGGGGTAGAATCTATTCACCTTTACAGAAAAATTGTGGTGCAATTCACTTTGACTGTCTTGAAGCTGTCTCTCCACTGCTCGGGCAAGCATCCCACCCTCCCACCCGCAACTTGGTCGCAAGACCTCTTGAGACCGTAACGGCAGGTACCAAATTGCAGTTGGCAACGACACCGACGCCGACGACAACAGCGACAACGACGACGACGACGCCGCCGACACCGACTACGACGACACCGACGACGTCTCCAACGACTTCGACGACAACGACGACAACGACGACGATGACGACGACGACGACGACGAAGACGACCACGACGACGACGACACCGACGACGACGACGACGACGACGACGACGACGACGACGACGATAACAGCGCCGGCGACGACGACGACGACGACGACGACACCAACGCCGACGACGACGACGACGACGACGACGACGACGACGACGACAACGACGACAACGACGACGACGACGACGACGCCGCCAACGAAGACGACGACGACGACGACGACGACGACGACGACGACGACGACCAGAGAGGAGGGAGGACGACGACGGCGACAACGACGACAACGACGAGGAAGGAGGGAGGACGGCGACGACGCGAACGACGAAGAAGGAGGGAGGACGGCGACGCCGAAGACGACAGCGACGAGGGAGGAGGGAACACGACGACGACGACGACGACGACGATGACGACGACGACGACGACGACGACGACGACGACGACGACGGCGACGAAATAGGAAGGACGACGACGAGACGCCGACGACGGACGACGATGTCGAGGGAGGAGGAAGGACGACCACGGCGACAACGATGACGGACACGACGACGACGCCAAAGAGGACGACGACGACGAGGAAACAGAGGACGAAGACGGCGACAACGACGACAACGACGAGGGAGGAGGGAGGACGGCAACGACGACGACGACGACGACGACGACGCAAGAGCGCGCGCGCACGCTTCTGTTGAAAATCCATATTGCCAAACACTATGGTTTTGAATATGTTTGGGGACATTCGATTTTGAAATCCTTCCGAAACTGAAAGATTTTGAAAGATTTCGGCATGCGCGCGCGACGACGCGCGCGCGCCAAATCTTGTGCAAAGGATTCTCGCGACGGCACGCGCGCAAGGGCGTTGGAACAATTACGAAATGCGCACGCACGAAGTCCGTCTGGTAGTATTTTTTGAAATATCGAATATGCACGCGCGACGACGCGCGCGTGTGCACTTCGTCTTATTTGTTGCAGGGGATTCTCGGAAACTTCTGATTGCTGATAAACGAGTGCGCGCGCAGAGCATTTGTTGCAAAGGATGGCGGGGGGGAGAGAAGCCGGTTTGGCTGGGGTAATATGAATTCAGATTTAGGGTGGACGAATGTGCAGAATAAACATGAAATCGCTATACCCCAGGGGGGATAATTAATTTCGGGTGGGAGGGAATGTCTATTCTTCCTGTAGAAAAAAGGGTATATACGCGGTGCAACCCATGCAATGCAACCTATACGGTGCAATCTGTGTGGCGACGGTGCGTCCTACTCAAGCGGGGCCCGACATGCCGTTGGTCTTCGTGCCCATTCTTTCCGTGTCCACGCGTCGTTGCTGGCGCGAAGCTGGGAGAAGACGCCGTTGCTGGCGGGGCAACGCGGGCGGGTCCGCGACAGCCTGGAAGGGCGGCGCCACGCCCACCCGCGCTCTTCGAGCAGAGGAGATGCGGAGCGGGCAGATGCCACCATTATGTGGGCAATAATGTTGTCTGCCGTCCCAGCCGAAGGATCAGGAAGGATGCGCCCGCCTGCCTCTAGCGACGCGACGTCCCTCACCTTGAGAGGGGGCAGGACGGTGGACCAACGCTGGGGAGGTCGTCCAAGAGGCTGGCAGCTGGCCGCGGGGGCGGCGTTGAGGGGCGGCTGTGTCTGGCTTGCGCGTGGGCAAGGGGGCTTTGGTAGTCTGCGCGGCGATGTCCAGGCGACGGGCTGCGCCGATGACCGGGCAAAAGCGCGGAGGACCTAGGTGCGTCGGCGCAGCTGCAAAAGGCCCGGCGGCCACGCGAGGATACCGAGCGGCTGTCGGAGGAGTGGCTGGTAGATGCGCGCGGGGTTGGAGTGCGCCTGGGGGGTCTGCTGGCGGTGGCCGAGCTGGGGGTGCCCCAGCTGCGAGGCCGACGGCGCGCTGGACTGCGATCCTGCTAGCACTGCCGCCGCGCGGCTGAGGGGGCAGGAGCGGCCGTGGGCTGTGTAGCCCAGGGGGAGGCAGCCAGTGAGCTAGCGCCCCCCGGCCCTGGGTCGGGGCCCTCCCAGCGGCCCAGCAGGTCCAGCGCGCTGCCGCGCGCGTTGGCTGGCGGCAGCTGCTGGTCGCCCCTGGGCGGCAGAAGCCGGCTGTTCGGGGGGGGTGCTAGCGAGGTCGGCGCCGGCGCGGGGAGAGGTGACTTCTTGCCACCTCTAGGCGCGGCTTCAGGAAACAAGGGGAACCATTCATCTCAAGGATTGCCCTGGCCTGACTCGGGCGCGCGCCCTAGAGGTGCACGAGGCAGTCCTCACAGAACCAGGTAGCATTCCATTGCATGCCGGTTGACGTCTGCGCCCGAGCGCGAAAGGACAGCAGCCCATGGAGGAGTTCGAGCTGGGCTTCATTTCCAGGGCGGAAGATGAACGCGCAGAGCGGTGCGTCGCCGCGTTGCCACTACCTTAGAGGAACGTCGTTTGGGCAACGATCGCATTGGCATTTCCACTGGCCGCAGCGGGGGTGCTTCCCAAACCTGTCGTCGACAGTGCGGAGGACGAGGATAGCGGTGCGAGCGTGGGCGGGTTCGCGCGGGCCCTCAGAGACCAGGGGCAGATCTGCGAGGGGGGTGTTCGCGTCGGCAAGGGCAACGGCGGGGCGACCCGGCAGGGGGCCGGGGGGCAGCGCAGGACTGTGGGCTTGGCGTCAAGGGCAAGGGTGCTGCCATCCTGTCGTAGGTAGGCGCCAGCAGTCCGTTGGCCGACAGGTTGGTCTTTTAACAAACGCAGCAATGCCATCGGCTGTCCATCCCCATGCGGCAGCCTTGAAGCTGGCCTGCCTGCGGCAACCGCGTTCCTGATCGCAGGGTCCACCCAGGCGCCTCCAGTTGCCATATTTGTTTTTCCTGTTTTTCCCTCTCCTCGCGCGGGCTTACGCCAAGCCGAGGCCGCCGCGTCGCCCTGCCCCCGCCGCGCGGGGCCCCGCCGCGGCCCGCCGCCCGCCGCCGCCGGCCTAGGCCTCGGGCCTCCCGGCTCACGCCATCGCCGCCGCTGCCACCGTCCGCCCCTCCTGCCGGCGGGCAGCCAAGCTCGGCCCCGCTGCGGTGCCCCCCGCCTCCGCCAGCCGCCGCGCCGCCCGCCGCGCGCCTCGGGCGACCCCTGGCGAGCCCCAGCCAGCCGGAGTCCGCCGCCTCCGCCGCCACCCCCTCGCCGCGGGGCCCCGCCGGCCGCGGCGCCTTGCCGCCGGGGCCGCTTCCCCGCGTTCCCGCCTGGCGCCGCGTCTGCCGTCGTGCTGGTGGTGGTGGCGCTGCTGGTCGTAGTCGTGGTGGTGGTGGTGGTGGTGGTGGTGGTGGTGGTGGTGGTGGTGGTGGTGGTGGTGGTGGTGGTGGTGGTGGTAGTGGTGGTGGTGGTGGTGGTGGTGGTGGGGGGTGGTGGTGGTGGTGGTGGTGGTGGTGGTGTGGTGCTGGTGGTGATGTGGTGCTGGTGGTGGGAGTGGTATGGGTGGTGGGTGGGGGGGGTCAAGCTAGCCAGCTCGAGCGAGTCAAGCATGGCATGCCCATTCCCACCCGCCCTCCCACAACATAAGAAACAGTGATGGCACAACTGGGGGCTGCGCGGGCATTTCAGTGCGAGTGGAGGATACCCCAGGACACCGCATTGACGTCCGCGCGGGATGTGCGCCGCGCCCCATTCCCGCCACGCATTTCGCATCGTCGACGACAAGACTGGCCATGTTCAGAGGAACAACGGACACGTTCCGCCCTCCCACAACATACGAAACAA